TCAAGCAGTCTGGGGAGCAAGGCTGTGGAGAGTACAGGACTTTCAGAAGACAAACAGAACTCTGCTGACTGAAGCTGGAAACACACCTCTCTCCATGACCCTAAGAATTCACAAGGTCAGTTCTCCCAAATATTAGATTAATTTGTCTAGACATTTTTTTTCCTACAAGGGAACTAAGAAGTAAACACAATTTTTCAGGGCTTTGGGGTCCTTATTAAATAGTGCAAAGACACACACACACACACACACACACACACACACACACAATCAAGTGACACAGGGAGAAGGAGGCCAGCTGCAAACCAAGAAGAAGCCTCTAGGGCACCCAGCCACTCTACACCTTCAAATTGCACCAGTGTCCAGAACCGTGAGAAAACCAATTACTATTTTTAAAGCCTCCTGAAACTTTGCTATGGTAGCCTGAGCAAAGTAATCAAGATTTTGATTACAAAAAATCATTCTGAAGTTGGCTATAAATTCCAGCCACAACCATTTGACCAGTTATAGAAATGAAGACTATTTGCAATATATGTTTTCATATGTATCAATACAATATTGTTGTCTTTTGTCTTATCTGCTTATCACAGAATTTGTATTGACATTATTATATCATGGTATGACATAGTGTTACCTTTACATCCTACTATTTAAGTTACGAGATGTTGAGGTGAAGAATGTTGAAGGATGTTACATGCTCTTCTGGGAAAGGGTTAGTGAATTTCTGGTTTATGTGGGAAAACTGTATCATGCTTGGTGGAAATGTGGTCTTATAGCTGTCTTGATTTGGAGACTGAACATGGTTTCAGGTGCTGGTAAAGTTCACGTGTTAGCTTTGCAATGTCATGGAGTCCAGAGAGTTCATCAGACATCATTCAAATGTCCATACTAAGGTACTTTTTAAAAAACATCCACAATAGTTACTATATTGCACATAGTTATCCTCTAAATAGTAGCTCAGACTATCAGATATAGGCATGCAAAGTTGGTTAAATAAGATAAGCACCAAGTTGTTTCTTTACCTCAATTGCTATCATTGCAGAAATTTCCAGTGTGTGACTTGTAATTTGCTTCGTGTCTGTGTCTCCTGGACCAGTTCTGAGTGGGCTGGAGGTCTGAGATCGCACCTTGCTCCTTCCTCTTGACATTTGCCTGTGTTCCTCTGAATCAGCTGGCTGCTGTGTCCTGGGTGTTCCCTTCACTGGCTGCCCACCCTGTGGTGTAGGGGATTGGGCCAGGCACCTGGGTTCCCCATATCTAAAGTTCCCAGGATGGTGGAGAGGTGTGGGGTAGAGACATACTGATGCTCCCCCACGGACTGTGGGACCTGGGGGTGTGTGACCTCCTCCCCTCTGGCCTGCAGGTTGGGCTCACTGGGAGGGTGGTGATATTTATTTAATTATTTTTAACAGTTTCAGTAATTTCACAAATAAACCTTACAAGAACCGACATGGAATTATCTTGCATGCATATTCTGCTTTTCAGATACAAAGAGAATTTGTTCCCAGGTGACAGGTTGCTCCCAGGTCCTGTGGTAGGCGGGGCTGACTTGGCCTTCTTGCTGCAGGCTCTAGGGATCTTCTCAGTTTACCCACAGCCCTACCTGGAGCCCAGCCCTGGCTCCTAGTTGGGGGCTGCAATCTTTTTTTAAATCAGATTTTAAGATGTTAGATGTGCCTTTTAGATGTACAATATTGATCACTTTCATCAGAGAACTTGTACCTCTATGTGATACAACCTGATTTATTTCCCATTCCTCTACCCTCCCTTCGATCTCTCCTCTCCTTTCCATTTACAAAAGCTTTGTTTCCATGTTTTATTTCCCTTCTCATTTTGTTTTACTTTACCCTTCTTTCCTTTCCCTTTCCCCCTCCCCCTCTCTTCTTCCTCTCCACATTTGAACCTTTTCTTTCTATTCTGTGAAGGCACGTTTTGTGATTAATACTTAAATCAGAGTCAGCATACTAAATAAGCTTCCCCTGCACAGTGGGCAGAGGCCTCCTAAACAGTTGAAGATTTTTATACAAAAAGGCCGTTCACTCCTAAGGAAGGAAGAATTCTGCTAGAAGCTGCCTTCAGATCCAAACCTCTTTTTCTTTGTGATGCTACAGAATTAGCCCTGGCCTTTGTACATGCTACGCAAGTGCTCCACCACTGAGTCGCCACCCCTTGAGGCCTCAAACTGTGATTCTTCCCTAGATCTTCATCTTGCAAAAATACCCTGCGACTCTCCTAAGTAGTTGTGTCAAAACGCATACCCTTGATCTGGAAGTTCACAGAAGATGTGGAAAGCACAGCTTCTAGGAGACCAGTGCTTCCCAGTCTTGATTGTCACTGCCTAATTAGCCTTTTCTTTTCTTTTTAAAAAAACTGTCTTTCTGTGGTAATGGGAAGTGAACCCAGGAATTTAAACTGAGCTACATCCTCAGCCCTTGCTTTTTTAAAAGAGCATCTTGCTAAGTTGTTAAATAGCTAGGCTGGGGTCAGCATTTCAGAGCACTGAGGTTATAGACATTTGTGACTTCTCGTGACCCTAAGGAGGCTTTTTCCCCTTCGTCACCCTTACCATGTATGTTTACTACCTTGAGTGTGTTTTATATCTCACGTATCTTTTTATGCTTTATATGTTAAAAAACATGTTTTGCTTCCTATAGTTAATTTCCACCCCTTTGGGGAAGTGTCATGAGCAATGAGGATTTTTGCTCTTAGGAGGTCACACAGCGGGCTGGACTTTAAATTGGAATGGAAATCCCTCACCACATGCCCATTTGAATGACTTGAATTTTAGATCACTGTGTAATGCCATGAGTATTTTGAGCTTTACTTAACCATACAACTAGATCCAGTGTTTGTTGGATATTTGTACTTTGACAAATGTACTTATTACATCTAAAAACACACTAATACACTAAGCATAGAATAATAAAAACAAATCTCACAAAGTCTATTGTGTGAAGTCTGGTGTGAAATCAGATATACTGATTGATACTTCTGAAGTCCAGCAAAATGTTGGAAGTGGAGAATTTTTGATATCTGGACATCACAGATATCAAATGAAATTAAAAATTTAACTTACTCATGGTAAAATTATGCCCTTTATCAGTGTAATATGCTTTTACTTATTTACTTTTTGGTACTGGGAATGGAATCTAACATCTTCCTGCCAAGCTATATATACAATTATTTTTAATTTTTATTTGGAGGCAGAGTCTCAATCAGTCACTTGCCCTGTGTCTTGGTTTATGTTGGTGGCTCCCAGGCCTCATGCATTTGCATTATGCATTTGTGACTGGTTCATTGTCTAGCACTTGGATTGGGGGTGTGAGTGCTACACCAGCCTAGGGGTGGAACCAGGATGTAATGTAATGGCAGGAAGAAGGTGTGTCTTGCTCTCTTGCTGATTTCTGCCTTGCTGTTTGCAGCTGCCATGAACTGCGGCCCCGCCATGCCATCCTGCCTTGGAGCCAACTGTAGGGACTGAAACCTCTGAAAAACTAAGAAATAAACCTTTCCTTTCCCAACCTTGGACATCAGGTATTTTGTCTCAGTGACAAGTGAAAAAAAGGAACTAAGACCCCATGGCTGGGCTTGAAATTGTAAACTTCTTCTTCAGCCCTCCTGCTTGCTGGGGAAATGAATTTTTTAGGGTGAAAAACAGAGGCCAGAGGACCTGGTGAAAGGGAATGTGGAATGAGCAGGCTTCTTCCTGCTGTAAAGTTAGGGCTTCCTGAGCCTGGCCTGGAGTAAGATCCACACCAAATCCATGGAGACTGGGGGAGATTCATCTCTAAATTCAGAACCTGTGAGGAGGCACAAGGTTCAGCATTATGCTTTAATGTGCTTTCTAAGCTCGCTAGGCACACTTTGACCTTCTGCCATCAGTGTCCTTCTCCATCCCTACCACAACTGCTGTGTTCAGAGTTCTTCAAGGAAGTCCAGGAAATGGAAGCTCCTACTAAACCTACAGTTTTGCCTTCCTGGTACAGTGAAATCTCCCTCTGAATTCTGTGACATGACACATTCATGCAAGTGCTTGTTCATCCTATGTGTATGGAATAATTACTCTATGTCTGGAAGCAGGTGGGATAGTGTCCTTGTCTCAGTACCTAGGATAAGGATGGAAATACAGTACTGGTCACAGGGTCAGGCTTGTTTCAGTGGCAAATGCCACCAAAGGCTGTGTTCATGGCTAAGAATCTAAGGTCAAACCTATGAAATATGCAGCTGGGTAGTTTTGTGGTAACACTCAGGTACAGGGCCCCCAGGTGCTTGCTGTGTCATGGTGCTACTCCAGTGTGTAGCCTGCTGGTGCTTAGGAGTCTACACAGTAGTAGGTGATGGAAATGAGCAGTAAAATGTCATTGGTATTTACAGCCCTTGCCATTACTCATTACCTTCTGCCCCCTGACCTCGGGCAGATTAGTGGCTGCATTTAATTCTCACAGAGCATGAGCCTTACTGTGAACTTCACTTTCCAAAGACCTTTGTCCTCCTTATGACAGTCTAATGTCTGGTGATCAGAGGTTGAGCTGAGGCAATGATGCTAGCCCTGGAAAGCAGCTATAAATATAGATTAACTGTAGCAAAAAGTTTGACTGTTCAGAGACCATAATAGACCATTTGCTTGCGTATACCTATCAAAACCCTATCAGTGAGTGACAAGTGACAATTTAGCTGAATCACTAGCAGTCTATCTAGCGGTAGGTGAACTGATGTACATAGATTGTACAGCTGCATCGGGCGGCAACTTTAAGTTAGAAAGCCAGCACTTATTTTGACCATGCTCTAATTGGACATTATTCACTTTAAAGACTTGAGGGTCTCTATCTCCCATCAATCCCAGACGGGACCATAGATGTAGCAAAACAAGCCCAGAACTCTGATTGGTTCTGCATTATTCTGTGTGGTCCATATATTCCATTTGTAATACAATGTAATGTCTTGGTTACTTTTCTCTTGTTGCTGAGACAAAATAGCTGATGCCCAAAATGAAGGAAGGAAAAGTTTATTTCTTACAGTTCTTGTGAGTTTCAGTCCATACTCAGTTGGCTCCAAGGCAGCGTAGCATGATGGGGAAACCATTCTCAGTGGCCACAAACAGCAAAAGTGAACAGAGCAAAAGAAAGAGAGAAAACTTTCTTTCCTCACTTACATTGTATGCCAGCCCCGCCCATGGGCCGGTGCAGCATTCACACAGCTAATCCCAGTACTAGACAACAAACCAATCACAAACATCAGATTCAGCCACCTCCATGACTGCATGAGGCTTTTGGGGCCATCAAAACACAAACCATAACATGTGACAAAAATAGAAATAAAGTGTCCTAAAGTGTACTTGAGTCAACATGAAATAACCCATCTTCCTTGTTCCATGAAAATATTTTCTTCCCTGAAACTTGCCCCTGGTTCCAAGGAGTTGAGGTTTGCTGATCAAAGGGCAAACAGGTATCAAGCATGTTAATTAATTACTAACATGAGAAGTACTAGATCTGCTCTAGAATAAGGCCACAGAGAAAAAATGAAATTTATGCTAAAATTAGATATAAAAACAACCTTAAAACTGTATGTATGGAACCAAATTACCCATCACACAGGGTGTCTTTGCTATCTGCATGCCACTGTGGTGGTGGTGACAGAAGCCAAGCTGTAGATTGCGCCCAGCTGCCCATGTTCAGATGGACTCTATTAACTGTTTGCAATGGAATATAGAAGAATAAAATAATATTGTAGGAAAATGGATGGAACTGAGAAACATCATGTTCAGTGAAATAAGCCAGGCACAGGAAAACAAGCACTGCATATTTTTTCTCTTATTTGAAAACCAGTGAGAAGTTAAAAAAAAGTCTGACGAGAACATAAACATACAGGGGTGGATGGAGATAAGGCAGGGTAACAGAAGGAAGATCGTCCATGGTAAAATTTGATGTATGCATGGGTAGAAATTTTGCAGCTGTAATTTGTATGTTTTGTATATGTTAATGATAACTCTAAAAACCAGGACAAACAAGGGACCTCTGGAATAGGGACCATCCCTTCCCTCAGTGTATTGCAAGGAAAAAAGTAAGTGCCAAACAATAATGCTTCCTCATGTTAGATTAACTTTATAGACTTTATTATGAGCTAGATAAAATATAAACTAAAACTGAACAACTATAAGAACGCCTCATATGAAGTTTGATCTCACCAACCAGCTACATTCTGCTTCTAAAAACAAGTTTAATCATAAATCCTTTGTGGGTAAAATGATCCTTGGCAAGGTTTGAACTAGAATCAAAAGACATTTAACAACACTGAAAACTTTCTAGTGAACCTCTCTCCAGCGGCTCACTTCTGGGGTTCTTTAGTAGTCTCTGCTCCTGTCTCCTTCTGGTTCTCAGAACTTTCCTCCTGGTTGCTCATCCTCTCTGCCTCCCTGGCCAGCCTGTCTGCCTGTAAGGCCTTGGCCAGTCTCTCCCTGGCTTCCTTCACTTTCCAAGTCTGTCTCTGGATGTCAGTGACCTGCTGGTGGGAAGAGTCAGGTAAGAGACGCAAGGCTTCGGGGAGCATCTCTTTCCAGAATGGAGGGAGGCCAGGGGCAGGCTGCATGCTCTCAACATCAGACTTGCCCAGGAATCCTCCTTGATTTCCTACAGTCAATATTTTAAAAGTGTTTTTGAAAGCCAACTGTTCTTCTTCAGTGCCTTGGCTCTTGATTGCCTGCAGCCTCCAGCCTGCACAGAGCTGCTGGGGCTTCTCCAGCTCCTTCTCCTGTAGACCACGCCAGACTTCATTGCCAGGGTGGGCGGTGACAAGAGTTACTCGGCTCCGAAAGATGCAGTTGGTCAGTCGATCAGCGGGTATAAAGGTTACAGCAGCCCTGTGCTTCACCTTGGGACCATCAACTTGTTTCTTCTGCACATGTGGTGGTATCATTCTCCTTTTGACTTTCCCCTTTTAAGACAAAATAAAATGTAAAATTTAAACAAAATTTTGGCAGAAGACTACCTGTAGCCATGGAGAATCTTCTTGATTCATTAGAATCTTTCAGCCTCCCGTTTTTGGAGAAAGGTATTTGAAATCAGTGTTTCATAGTTACCTGGAAAGGTGATTAAAGCTCAGATGTCTGCAACCCAAGTAAGTCTGGGTGTGGCTCCCTCTACAGAGCTAATGACAAAGCATTTTCCACCTGCCTTTGCTGCTAAGCCTCTCTTCTCATTCATGACCCTGTCATTGTTTTCTGGTGTCCCTAAGCCATCCTACTGTGAAACACTGACATCACAGTTGTTGATTGATTTACACTATCCCGGTGGGGGGGGGGGTACACTCTATTAGTTCACACAGTGAAGAAACTGGTGGACAGTGTGTTCCTGAGAATAGAAACCCATCACTGGTGTTGCTTGTATATGTCTCTGATTCTACTCACAAGTATTAGCAATTACAGAATAACTTTCCTTAAAACACCATCTTCGTTGAACAACAGGGTCATTATACATATGGCACATGCTTGCAGTCTCAAACAACTTGGGAGGCTGAGGTAGGAGGATCAGTTCAAGATAAGCAGTTCAAGACGACCCTTCGCGGTATATTAATATCCCATTTTAACAACAGAAAACCAAAAGCACAAAACTGCCTGCAAACTTAATGAGGTTTAACTGAATAATCGAAATACGCATGACACTTTTGCAACCATGTGGATCCCATACTCACAAAAAAAGGCTGCCTTGAAGCCGAGGGTGTTTCAGGTGCTCTGCTGGCTGCTGGCTTTTTCATTTCTGGCTCCATTTCTGAGATAAAAACACTTTGTGGCCTTTTGGAAAGTGTGGTGGCCCCTCATCCAGGTCCCCTTCTATGGAGGAGGAAGAAGACAAAGAAATCAGGACAAGCCAATCACTGCGTTGATAATCTATAGAACACATCCAGGTATATTCCTGGAATTTCCAGATTCTTAAATCTTTATATTAAACTAAAATATGTGGAGTCACTAGCCCTTCACGTAATGTTCATGGGTGGGATTTTAAAGTACTTTTTAGCCAGTTGACTTTGCACTTAATGAAGATATTGTATTTTATTGAGATTTTAAAAGTTACAATTCTCTGAACATACTTTCATCTATTTTCTGTTTTGTCTAGTCTTTCTTTAAATAAAATTTTAAAAAAGAAAGTTACAATTGACAAACGGTTATGTGTGTGAATATAGTACGGTGTGATACTTTGCTCCAGAGGTTCATGGAGGTTCAGTTCCCAGCGCCTCACTGTTTGTCATTAATAGCATTTAAACCATGTTTCCAGTTCTCCTCTCGTGTCAGCACCTTTAAATATGTTCTTCAAAAATTGAAATAGGGGCCAGGGTTACAGCTTGGCAGATAAGCGCCTGCCTGGCAGGAGCAAGGTCCTGTGTTCCCTTCCGGGTACAAAAGTATAAGTGAAATGGGAACTTTTATGTACCTAAAGTTTCTTAACAAGTTGCTTAATAATGAAAATTAGAGTCTTTTTATAATTCCCTCAATAAAGTATAACAAGTATTTATAAATCTCTATATTCTATGCCACATGTCTACTAACAGAAATTACTAGTTTGTACATGAGCATTTCATGTAATTACTGGCAAATGGGAGATGGTTTCAAATGTCATACTTTTGCCCTTTTCTTTCATTCAACTGGTTGTTTTTTGATTCATTTCTTTACTTGAAAGAGTGAATTAAATAGTTCATTTTCCACTGTTCTCTCTTTTAACATGTGAGATACAATCAGATACAGAATTGTGTATATATGCTTATGATTAAATCATGGACCCTTCGCTTGAAATACTCTAAAACAAATACTTTTACTATCTCTTCCATTGGTGATAACTTAGTACACTCTGAATTCTAGTTTTCTTGTCTTTTGTATGATCATTATCATACATTTTAATTATACATATAGTTTGATCTCTATGAGGCATTTCTACAACTGTTTCATATACCAATACACTATTCCTTTATTTTGATTTCTACATTATTTTATGTTCCTCTTTATTATTCACAGTTTTCATTTATTATTTTCTTTTAAAAACTGCCTCTAGACTCTCCTCTCTCACTGCATCCCTTTGCCTCTGTCTCTCTGACTGTCTTTCTTAGTGCTGGAAATTAAACCAGGAAACTGATCTACCACTGAGTTATGACTCTAATCTTAGAATATTATTTTTTTTAATTTAAAATATCTCACTTTTTTGTTTCATTATCTGTATTTTGGGGCTGTTTTTGTGCCATGTGTAGAGTTCCAGTCTGGTAAGAGATTTATTTTACCACTTTTTTTTGGTATTGGGGATCAAACTCATAACCTTGTGCTTGCAAGGTAGGTGCTTATGCTCCTGAGCTAAATCCCAGCCCCTGTTTTAGCACTTTAAAAATGCTGCTCTGTGTGTTGACCAATTGTCAATCCTTTTCTTGTTCCTTTTGTCTAATTACCAGCTAAAATTGTTCACTTATCTTTGGTTTTTAGAGCAAGGTATAGTTCATTTTGATTCTTTTGTGTGGTTTGCTTAGAGAAGATGAACTTCACTGAATCTGCGGGATCTGAGGTCACCTATGCACTTGAAAAGTGTAGATATACTTTCACTTCTGTTTTTCATTCTTTCCCTGAGTTCTCCTTCTCCCCTTTAAATCACATCTCGCGAAATTTCGAGTCAGTCTGTCTTGAACTTTCCAATGTGGTTCACCCAGGACTCTGGAATATTTTTTTTTTCTACTGCCTTTCAATCTGGTAATCCAGCTTCGGTTGTAGGGAAGCCACTTTATAATTTCTTATGTTCTTAATTTCAATTCTAAACATAAATCCATAATAGCTTTAATGAAACATAAAAGAGCAGCTTTACAAGAATATTTTGGACATAGTAAAATTCAAAAATATAATACAATTATAATTTGGATCATATTAAGAGGTATCCTTCGTCCAGTTTAATCAAGAATTTGGCAGGAAGACTGCCAAAGAAGAGATTCAGCTAATGTACAACCATAAATAACACGAGGCCAGAATATTCAAAGTATTATAACAAACAAACAAACATAATGAAAAAATCACTAGAAAACTTGGTTTCAATGTTAAGTAGTCCCTACACAAAATAAGGTAAAATAAAATAAATGGACAATAATAAAATAATTTATGATGAGATGCTATGATATATCCATCAGTTTAGACAAAATGCAAAAAACAGTCAAACAATTGGTGGAGAACTCTAACCAATCAGGTCATTTATATAACAACGGTGAGTGCTTAAGCTGGTATAACACATGACAAACCACCCGATAGTATCTGTAGAAGCCAAGTGTGTGTCTACACGTTCCCCTACACAAAAACAGTCGCTAGCTCTGTGCACATGTTCTGATTGGCTACAGAACCTGGAGTTATAATAAACTAAATAAATTTATAGAGCAGTGAACTAAATGGTCACCAGCAGGGGAACAGATAAATACTGTGGTACTTGTAACAGACGAAACTCCACGTGTTGAGAAGACTTTACAAAAAACTGAGCAACGTTAGGAGAAACCTCAGTCCACATGTGTGACAATGTGTATCCTGTTGTTTCATGCAGGTCACACACACACACACACACACACACACACACACACACACACGAGTGGCCAACTGTGCCAGGTTTGTTGATATGCACTCCTGATCCCTGCTACTCAGCAGCCAGATACAGAAGAATATATAGGGCAATTTTGAGAACATACTGAGACATTGCCTAAAAAAACAGAGAGAGAGAGAAAAGCCTAACCCATGACATAGTTTGAGACAAAGTGTGCTTCTGAGAGCCCAGGCAGGGTATCAGTAAAAGATGAAGCTAATAATCTCTTTAATTTTGGTGCTAGGCACAGGAGTGTGTAAAGGCTGGTGGAGATGTTCGGTTTGGTTTTTGTACTTCTGTGTACATGATAGTCCAATAAAAACTGGAGGGAAAGATAAACAGAACTGTAATTTCTGACACACCTCATTCAACAATCACTATTGCTAAAGAAAAATAGACCGTCTCCAGGATGTGATATTGTATTTGTCAAAACACATTATTCTGTGAATTCAAGTGAGGAGTGAAAATGTTTTCAATTGCTACATACAAAAACCGTATTTGCTAGGAAGGGTTAGAGTAAAAATAAATTTCACCTTTGGTTTTACATCTTCTCCTTTCTGGATTATTTTGTGGAACACAATTGGATACAGGGGAAATTCTGATGAGATGTCAGAAAATTATATGCACTTCAGTAAAAAAAATCTGCATCTCAAGAGATTTAATTCTTTAAATGGCTTAGGACATTTTAAAAGATGTTAAATGATATTGTATGCTCCTGGATTTGGAATTAGTCATGAGCCTAAAAATCCAGTTTTGTCACAGTAACTGAGCTCTGGTTGTTTTCACAAAGCCCTGTTGCTAATAAATTTATTAGGCCAAAAATAAAACACCTGGTTAAGTTTTAACCAAATGAGTGCTTGACTAATTTCTAGTCAGTTAATTTGTTTTCCGTTTGTCTTTTTTGTTTTGGAGGAGTGATGTTAGATCACATTGTAAGTTGGAGTCCACAAACGCACTGAAGTTGTGGCATCTACCAACTTCTAGAATCTGTGTTTTGCTTTTTGGGGTTTTGTTTATTTTATTTTTTGCTTTGCTCAAATAAGCCCTATTAGATTGGCTGGCTTTAAGAAATTTTCTTTTTAAAAGCCTATGAAGCTTCACTTCTGGATAAGCTGAGACGTTTCTAGGTAAATAAATCAGACGTACATGTAAATACCAAACTGTTTGTCTGATGTGAGAAACCAAAAGTGTAAATAAGGACCAAAATGTGTAATAGATATTGTGAATTAGGAAGAAAATTTTCAAATGGAAAGAGGAACAAGGGAGAAATGAGGGGGAAAGGAAGAAACGGGAAAATGAAACAAAATGAGAAAAGAAGGAAAAAATGGAAACAAAACTTTTTTGAATAAGGAGGGGAAGGCTGGTGGCATATACCTGTAATCCCAGAGTTTGGAGGCTGAGGCAGGAGGATTGTTGTGAGTTTGAAGACAGCCTGGGATACAAAGTGAGTTCAAGGCCAGCCTGCAAAATGAAACCCTGTCTCAAAAAGACAACAAACAAACAAAGAAACAAAGGAGAGAAAGGAGGTTGAAGAGAGAATATGGGAATGAGAAAAAAAGAATCAAGTTATATCACGTTCAGGTATAAATTCCCTATGATGGATGTGATCACTATGTACACCTAACATGCACCAATAAAAATCATAGTCTTTGACAAAAGCTTCTCTTCTGAAGATGTCTTCAATTTTTGATTGTTATTTTAAATTTGTGTGTATTTTAATATTTAGTGTAAATGAAGCACTATTTATTATATGGCAACTACCCCTCTATGGATGTAACATCCATGGATTCAATCAATGTCAGACAGAAAATATTCGGAAATAAACTATATCTACACTAGGATGCATATAATTGTTTTCTCTTTACTCCCTAAACAATACTGTCTATTCCCTAAACAATTATTTTTTTAAAAAATTTTAAATTTAAACAGGATAAAACAGAATAAAACCAATCAAAACAAACCAGAGTAAGTGACATAGGACTTCCACACATTATGAACTCAGCAATAGTTATTGTATGCCTTTTGATGTCTTCAAAAATAGTTTCAGATTTCTTTGGACATAGTTAAAGTCAAACAGAACAGAATAGAATAGAAACAATGAAAACAAAATAATGAATGCAATCAAGGACTTCAAACAAGACAATAGTAGACTCGAAATTGCTACCATAATATATCTTGTTATCTTTGAAATCCTGCCATTGGATTTAACAGAATAAAGCAAAACAAAAGAGAGTAAGACCCAACCCAACAAGACAATGGAAGTGATACAGCACTTCCAAACAATATGTAGGGAATCAGCAACCACTGCACCCCTGAGGAGGAGATGCCCCCTAGGTGCCACATTGTGTACTGCTATCCTCTGAACCTGTGACCAGACCCCTGGCCCTAGACCTGCAATGCCAGTGAAACCCCAAAGCACCACAGGCATCCAACTGCATTTCACCTCCATAGTTATCATCACAGCCTGTAAACAACTATTCCCATATAAATTGACAAACTCTTCATTTATCACTTGCATTGTATTAGACAATAAATCATTAGAGATGACTTAAACATTCATAAGGGGATTTACACTGGTTCTATGCCAGTATTGCATCATTTTACTTACAGGCTCGTGCATGGACAGATGTTTTGATTATTTGCAGGTCTCGGTACAAATTCTCCACAACTGACCAAACTGTATCTTGTACAGTTTTAGCTCTGTGAGCTCTCTAAGTTTAACATTATGAATAACACTGCGCTGTGGATTGCAGAAGCATCTGAGTTAACTAAGCCCCTTCTCCCCTGTACACTGTTAAAATACATACCTAACGGCTTCTCTACTGAGGGCCAGTGCTCATCACCCCCCAGTGTGCGGTAAATTTCCTATATATGTTTACATCACGAATCTAAGGTGATTCCTTTTTCAGCTAAACATCTTCTAACTAATGCTTTCTACTTAAGAAATGTGGATTTCTTATTTCCACGAGTTTGTCATTTATATTGTTCATAACAAAGTATTGGGAAGTTGTCTCTCAGGAGTTAATCCCAACATTTTGTGGGATGCGGAGGCTGTGCCTGAACCTGGGGAGGATGGGGAAGATTGAGGACTTCTGCCGGTCTCCTGGTAGCTCAAGGTGAGATGGCAGGAGCTCTGTCGGCGTCTCTTCACTAGCATTCGCAGACAGGAAGTGTGCAAATAAAGTCCCGCACCTTCTTGTGATTTGTACCTTTGGCCAATGTGACAACAAGGTTGAGGAGCAGTGATAGTGTCACTAGAATTGCAGCTCTGTAGGGATCCCTCTAACAGAGGTCTTACTCAGTCCTAATTTCTGGTTCTTCTCTGGGCCGGAGAATCCCTTCTGTGCTATCTCTAGGGCACCACAGGCACTGACTGAGCTCCGACCCTGCCAACACAAACAACCCTTCCCTGTGAGAACTGCCCCAGACCCTGGGGTACGGATCCCTCCATACTTACCCACAACAGGTTTAGGTGGGTTCTGCAGCCGATGCCTAGGGGAAGCTTGGGAAGGCTGGTATCAGCGAGGACGCACACCTGGTATCATCTAAGTGTACTTGGGTGAGGAAACCACTTCAGCTGTTCTCTGCCTGGCCCCCTTCATGCTCTCCGTCTGATGGCATCATCTGGAGCATCCTGAAACTACCTGTGGCTGCGTCCATTCCCAGACATTCTCACTCATTGGTTTCAGATGTAGCCTGTGTCACCGTCCGAGATCGGGAAGCTGTTCTCAAAGAAAATAATAATGTCTGAGAGACAAATTGTAGAAAGAACCAAAGGCTGTGCTGTATCCAAAGAATGGAAAAGTAAGATCACATACTGTCGTGTCAACTTCTCTAAGAGGCTGAGAAGTTACCGATATAGGCAAGGAATTATAAGGGATCTAGGCTAATAGAGGGGCAACATAACCTTGTCCTTTTTGGTGACGGGGAGTATTTTTCAGGAACCTGGGTACCATGCCATTGCATTCCTTTCATGCTCTGATGTTTCCAGATGTAGCAACTGGTAGGTGTCCTTCATCTTCAAGGAGGTGCAAAGGCTGGGGAAGTCTAAATGATTTCTCAAATGATGAACACAGCTTCATGCCGATCTGAGTAGAATTTGACTTAAAAGTCAAGGCAGCAAAAAGTTTAGCACAATAACAAGATGAAGATGTTAAGTCTTTTTATCTCTTTCTAATCACCCAGCAGACCTCTGTGGGCAACGTGAAGGATCAGTGTCTTTAGCAAAACTCTTGTTGAAGTCCCTGAGAAGTAACCCAGGTAACTACGATCGTCTTAAGGGGCGCATCCCAGGTTTTCTTTACAGAAAAGCTGGCAACAGAAGTGTAACAGATTGCCCAGCTGCATAGGCTCAAAAATTAGCAGTTTTAAAATCAATGAGGAGCAAGTGAAGCTAAGACATTTTACTTAGGTTTCTCCCCATAATATCTGGGCTACAGGAAGTTTTACAGCCTCTTCCCCCAAGAAGCTAACAGACGATCGCAGGTGACGCATCTCTCTTCTCCTTCTAGAGTCCTTCCATTAAACAGACCCGGGAGCTTTCAGACTGTGGGAACCGGGTTGTGTTCCAGACAGTGTATCAGAATGGCTGTGGGAGGGGCTAGGACATCAGAAATTCTTCTTGAAAGAACTCCAGGTTTTCTAATATAAGTCACCACTGGTTAATGTTTTTTTTTTTTTTTTATCATTTCAGGGTTTTTCAGCCTTTGGGTAATAGAAGGAGAATTAGGGAAGAAAATTCTAAGGGCTGGTGTCTGATCCCAGGTAAGATAAATCATACATGCATTTTGGATCAGGGGAACATGTCAGTACCATCAGGAGGGTCAGAAGTGTCAGGAGGTGAATTAATAAGCAGGTTACACTCCCAGTCGCAGCTTTCAGGATCTGAAAAAGGTGACTTCCTCACAGTAAGGAAAGAGCTGATTAAAGCTGGGTGCAGGGGCACAAGTGTGTAAGTCTAGCTACTCCACAGGTGAAGGCAGGAAGGTTGAAAATTCCAGGCTTCAAGAGAGCAAAAGGAATAGACTAAATTCACTAAATTTTGAAGAGTAGTTATCTTCCCATGCATTGAGAGTCAAGTTATTGAAAAGACATTCCTTCCTTCAGGGTATATGATTGCTACCTACGCTAAACTGGTTGGAAATATGTGGATTTCTGGATTCTCTATTTCGTTCTGTTGGTTTGTGTGTTTGTTATGACAGTACTGTGCCTTTTAGTTACTATAGCTCTATTGTGTATTTTTAATTTAGGCATGTAATTCAAAGACAGACACCTAGAGTTTTTTTTTCTCACTACTGCTTTGGCTATTCAGTATTTTTACAAGTAGTATAGGACTCCCTTAAGAAATTCTTGTAGGGTTAGTTTGTTGGTGATTGATTCTGCCCATCTCTTGGTCTTGGATAAACCTTATTCATCTCATTTCTGAAAGATGGCTTGACTGAACATGGTGCTTTTGGCTGGTTGGGTTTTTTTTTTAAAACTTTGAATATATTATCCTCCTTTCTCCTTGTCTAAAAGTTTCTTCTGAGAACTCTGCTCTTCTTTGTGGGGAGATTTTCTTATGTGATTGGCTGTGTTTCTCACTCTGGTTTTAGATTTTCTTTTTGTCTTGTATTTCTACAGTTGTGACTCAAATATGTGCCAGAGAGGACCTATTTGGTTGACACTTCTTGAGATCCTTTGAGCTTCCTGAAGTTGGGTGTGTATATTTTTACAAAGATTTGGTGAGTTAACAGCTTTTACTTTGATGGATAGTTTAAAAAAATTATTGATGCATACTAATTGCACAAATTAATGGGTTTCACTATGATGCTTCTAAACATGCATATTCTGTGCTTTGAAAATGATAACCTCCAGTTTCATTTTCCAGCAAATGTCATGATTTCAGTCTTACTGATGACTGAGTAACACTCCACTGTGTACACATATGATCTTTATGTCACCTGTTCTCCTGCTGGCATGCTCCTAGGCTGATTTCTTATTGTCGAATCCCCTAGGGTGAGGCTTTCTTGGTGGGGGGATTCAGGTCAGGGCATGACAGGGAGGGGTATCTCTGGCTGCAGGGTTTTGGTCAATCTGCTTCAACTTGAGGAACTCAAACTAGATCAGTTCTCAGGATACAGGGGGCAGAGTGGGTGGACCTCAAGGACCCTCTCCTATCTCTATTGTCTTTTGCAGACTTGGGCTGCAGGTGGGGTGGCTCACTGATGCACAAGTAAGCAAGCTTGGAAAACTCCTAGGAAAACTCCTGCAAAAGGACAGTGTTGATACAGAAGATAGGGAAGAAAGATATTTTGAGAGGGGCAAAGAGACATAATGTTTCTAAGCCGTAGAGAAGTGCATCAGATGAACAAATTAAACAAAGTAGCTGGGCATATTGCCACACACCTGTAGTCAGAGCTACTCAGCAGGCTGCCTCAGGAGAATCAGTTGAGCCCCCAAATGGAGACCAGTCTTGAGGGACAAATCCTGGAGCAAAGGGAGAGTTTGGGATAGCGTGGAACTCGGCAATGACATCTGGATCCAGAGAATCCTTTACTGGGTCCCTGTGGAGGCCCCTAAGGTGCATGCAGATCCTCGATGTAGATGTAGAGCTCCATCACTTGATGTCGGGGAGGGGCCATTCTGCAAGAAAAGGAGAGGAGGCATTTGAGATGCTGAGAATCAGAGGTGTCTGTAAGAGTGAGGTTCATGGTTGTGTTCCCGGGATTAAAAGTAGGTGGCAAAGTAAGGGCTTTTGCCTAGAGGTTTGTGTTCTTGTGGCAAAATTCCAGGATAGGATCTGGAGCACTGTGGGGCGGATCCCTGGTGGTACTTTGTTGGTGTCATGAGGAACATCTAAAGGTGACAAATTGGGGGCTTAGCGCTCAAAGGAGTGTTGGGGGGACCTCATGAAAAGCACTAGATTAAGTCAGAAATATAGGTATGAACCTGCATACCCAGCTAATCTGGAGGCTGAGGCAGGAAAATTACTTGAGTCCAATAATCTGAGGCCAGACTGGGCAATAGGGTGCTGTAGCTTGTGTCTAGATGTCCCCCAGAAGCCTGATGTGGTCACAGGTGGGCTCTGCAGAGCTGGCTGGATCTAGAGTGTGTGATGCTGAGATTGATTGTGTAATGCTGACCTTAAGGACTGGTGAAAAATAAGTTAGTCCACTGATTGGCTTGGCATAGTTCTGATGGCAGAGGACAGGAAGACCCATACCTAAAGGGCAGGCAACCTGGGGGCATGTGAAGGGCAAGGAAGAAGGCAGGTCATTTCTTCACTGTCTTGCTGTCTTTTGCCCACAAACTGTTTCTCTTCTGTGATACCACTCTGCCTTGGAGCCAGCCGATCATGAACTGAAACTTCTACAAACTGTAAGCTAAATAAACCTTTCCTCCTTCAACTTCAGGTATTAGGTATTTTGTCTTAGCAAAAGAATAACTGAGCCAGGGAGAGACCCAGCTGGAGGCCAGGGGAAAGAAACAGGTTACGGAGATGGGATTAATAGGCTAGAATCTGGGGATGTTTTATGGCATGGGGGTGGATGGTATGTGTGTCTTCCCCAAACTGAGGGTGCGAAGGATTGGGTCACAGGTAGGTGGAGGGTGATGAAGAGGATAGGGACAGGGTATTCTGTTCAGGGGTGGTTAGTGGAAAATGGATTTAGGGGACAGCACTGGGATGACATAAAAGGATGGACCATGGGAAACGTTGTAGGGCAGATCAAAGCAGACTTGTTTCAGGAGGCAGGTCCAGGTGGCATGGGACTGCAGCAGGGTCACATCTAGTCCTCCAGTGAATGTAAGGGCGGAGGGACTGCAGGACTCCAGAGAGACACATTGCTGCCCGCCCCCTTCCCGTCTCCTTGGCTGGTTGGGTCAGTAGCTGTGCACTGTGTGCAGCCCCTGTTCCTGGTACTGCTCCAGCAGGACCTGGCAGGACCACAAGGTGGCTGGCGGGGCCAGGATGGAGCCCCGTACTGATACTGAGAAGCACAGTGCCTCCAGAGGCCTCCATAGTTGGGAGCGGTGCCGATCAAGTCCAGCAGGTGGCGCCAGAGTAGCTCGCAGCCCCCCAGCCCTGTAAGGTGCCGATTTCCAAGCCCATTTTTCAGGGTAAGGGAGGCTTCCTGGAGTGTTGGAGCTATGATTTGAAGGCTAAAAATCCTATTTGGCAAGAAACAAGCAGTGATTCGGAGATAAGGAGGCAAACAACCTGGCGTGTGATCACCCTATCCCCTCGCCCTGTCCACTTCCTCCCAGGCCCCCTCTGCTCCTTTTCGAATCCAGAAAGCCACTGTGGGCTGGCGCTTTCTGATTAAAGTTCTCAGGGGAGCTCTGAGTGGTGCCCTAGTGTGACACCATACAGAAGTAATCTCACAAAAGTACACAAAGAAGTACTCCAGGGTCTGTTGTCTATGCTGGGTGGTAAATAGAAACATCCACTGATGCAAAAGGTGGGATCAGGCACTGGGTCCGAGTCTTCTCTCCCCTCTCCCCAGGTAAACTTTGAGGAGGCATCATGAAAAGATGAGCCCTGGGACAGGGAGGGTGGAGGAGACGCCACACCCCACATTGTGACGTCATAGAGCAGGGGCTACTCCTCCCTAGTCACCCTGCCTCGGTCTCCACCTGGGCTTTTTTCTTTTGTCTCACACCCTCTGCTCGCAGGAGAGTGCATGGCTTTGCAGGCCTCCTTGCTAGCGTACC